AAACAATTTTAAACATTGTTACAATTTATACAAATGTCTTTGAGTAACACCATTTAATCATCAAAATGTTTTGAATTATTTATCGTTCAATACTGAATGTTTACATTTGCAAAATGGCTCATCACTAGGTAAATCCTATGCCTCAAAAAATGTTAGGCAACAGGACTTAATAACTTGCAGAGAAACCATGAGAGTTACTTCCCTTATGTAAAATTCAGTAACCTGAAATAAAAGGCGTTTTTGTGAACCGATTAGATTAGACCGATTAGCTATTATACGCATTTGTGAACCAAGTTGATTATGCTAATCGTTACATTTGTGAGACGATTTAACTCAACTGATTAGGCAAATCGACCTAATCGTCCCAGGAGGTGTTTAGGCGATTAGATTTGACGTTTTCAACATGGCGGAATGTTCGACATCGCAAGTAATTTTTAATGCTTATTGTTGTTTTTCTCCATAAAAAATGTTTTTTTAAAACGCATTTGATGTGTTTAAAGTAGCTAAGTCTCTAACTCAATATCATCCAAAATCTTCAACATTGAAAACACGATTTATTTGTCAAATTATATCAACATTCATGTTGTAATCTTTACGGGAAAAGATGGGCTTTTGATATCCAATATTTAAGACAAAATAAACATTTTACCATTGGTACACGAATCGTGTACCATAATGCGCTTCAGCCCTAGTTGTATCAAGAGACTCGAGGGACGAGGCTAGACACATTGCACCAAATCAAACGGTGTATGTAAACTGGAATAACCAGACGTGACGCTAGAAATTTGCACTCGCTTGAGACTGCTGGCTTATTTCGCCGAACATAACGGATTTGAAATTGGAGTAAAAACGGAAACCATTGAATGTAAATCAGTTTATATACATTCATATTACAGTATTATATGCATTGCGACCCACTTTTGTCAATTTCTAGGTCCCAAATGTTAGCGATTAAGCTCCTTTAATGTTAACTTTATAGTCCACAAGAATGTTAGATCACCTCTGGCTCTAAGCAATTTTAGGCCCTCTGGGTGCCAGCAGTGTCACTGTAATCTGTAGGTAACTTGGACTACACGTGAAACACACGCCCCCCTCGTCATGTTAGCAGAGACAATTTTTTTTCTGATCGGTGTCCCTGATGGCAGCCATCTTACCAAATCGTAATTATCAAATTTCACATTTGTGGACCATAGTTAATCAACTCGAAATCATACCAAATCGTACTAGCAAATCAAAACCTAATCTAATCGACTCACAAAAACGCCTATTGAATCTTACATGTCTTTGGTGTGTTCTTCATAACGACCCTGTGACACCTATTTAATGGACAATTTATTATTTCTATGACGCAGACACTTCAATTATGGCTAGGGAGAAGTAGTCTTGGGCGGTTTCAAAAATGGGATACAGAACTCGATGCTAACATAAACAAAACTTTTCTCTAACCTCTTCAGGGAAGTGGGGTAATCAAGATTTACATGCATGTACCAGAAGTTAAAGGGTTAAGGTAGCCATACAATTCCAATTAGTCAAATGTCAACTTACGTAATTCCATTCTGTACCACTCTATTATTACAGTTTGTCCAACATCTACAGGCTCGATTACACTCAAATACTAATGGTGGTTCCACAATGTTAAAATCACTTATAACACGGCCCATCTAAAATAACAATATTTCAACTTAAACATACATTACGCAAGCGCTAAATCTGTCTATTGCAGGTCTTTCTGTAGGCCTGAAATGTTATCTAAATCATTAATTAGACGTAAATTAACTTATCCAGATCATAATCAACTCTAGATGCCATCACTAGCCTGCGATATTTATTGGATTTGAATACATTTTTTGATGGATGATTTAACGTCAAAATGGATAATCAAGGCTGTTTTTTATCATACCGACTTTACTAATGAATGATGATCGTGGCTAGGCCTAAAACCCAATTGCTAATATCTCGGTTCATAGTGAAATTTTCAGCATATTTTCTTTACGTTATTCATTTTTTAACTATTATAGCGAGAACTGTCAGCTCTTTATCTAATCCCCCATAATGCCCCTTTAATTACAATAAAAACATGGAAAAGATTAAAATCAATGAATGACATTGTTATCCAGTCCCCTAGTTATGTAGTTAAAACAAAATGAAATCCGGTTTAACACCCTACTTTTCTGCCCTAATGATTATTTCTAGCCTAGAGGTCGGGTGTTCGATTCCTGCATTGGCCGAGAAAGTTCATCCAGATTTTCCGGCGTGGTTCCCCCCTTGTCAGTGATGCAGGACAGAGGGCCTGACCAGGACAGCTGTCTAGTTGTTCGGGTGGGACGAAAAACATTGGCGTGCACGTAAAAGATCACTTGACAGTTGGAATTCGATTAAGAGTAAGCCGTAGTGCCGCTGTTCGGGCAAAATTTCCCTCATAGCACATTGTATGGCGAATGCCCGTCTTCATTAGGTCAGTTGTTGCATAACAGTAGGACGTTAAACCCCATTTCATTTCATTTCATTTATTTCTAGTGTGTTCACCATGTGATATTTAATGTATATGACACATACCTTATCATACCAACATTTAATGGTACTTCTAGCACAGACACAAAACATGGAGGAACAATCATCTTTACATCGACAACTCTACAAATATAATCACATCTTTCAAACAAAATATTTCATTTCATTAGTAGATTCTGTCCAGCACTCAACACCCCACGAAAGTGAAATGTAGTTTAAAGTTTTTCTTTACTCGACCCACTGAGATAAATATCGTTTACAGGGGGCTTTGATTTTTCAAAATTTTCAATTTACCATATCCTCGTAAATATTAAACAGACTGATATTCCTTTTAATTTGCAAAGTGTATTAATTAGAAACTTGATAATCTGTAAATATTCACGAATATTCATGAATATAATGTCTAAGAGGCATTTAGTAACTGGATAGAACAATACACAAAACTACTTATTAGCTTGGGTGACTATAGAATAGTTAAATAACTTCTGAAAGAGTATCAAGTTGTACTAATATCCAGTCCTACCAGTGAACAAGTATCAAGTTGTACTATTATCCAGTCCCTACCTGTAAACTGTTTATTGAACTATTTATCAAGTTGTACTATTATCCAGTCTTACCTGTAAACTATTTATTGAACTATTTATCAAGTTGTACTATTATCCCGTCTTACTTGTAAACTAGTTATAACTGTTGATATTCAACTATTTATCAAGTTGTACTATTATCCAGGTCCTACCTGTAAACTGTTTATTGAACTATTTATCAAGTTGTACTATTATCCAGTCTTACCTGTAAACTGTTTATTTAACTATTGATCAATTTGTACTATTATCCAGTCTTACCTGTAAACTAGTTATAACTCTGTTGATATTTAACGGCGATGTTTCTACGTTCTCTATAATATATAGATAATCTGTGGGGAATGATTCATCATCTACAGCATTAACACAAGCTATTGGATTCCTTTCACGACCCAAAGACACATCTCTGAAATTAAAATAACCATAAAGAGTTCAAACATTATTAACTCAAGTAACTAAAGTTGATGTACCCATTAGATGCTTACCTTTCTGTCTTAACTCTTTGGACCCGAGCGGCCCAGATGCCATTTCACTGAGTACAAGCCGCCATGGGTACCTGTTTGACCAATCAGTAACAAACAGGTACCTGTGGCAGCTGACATACCGGCTTCTCAGTATTCTAGTCATGACATTCTATCCGTTTTTATCTGATGCTCGGGTCCTGAGGGGTCATTGTATTACAAAAACAATATTTTGGTCCATTTTTACCCTGGCAGGCTAATGTGTTGTTCATGGTGTCGGTATCCAAAGGGTTAAGAAATAAAACAGGGTTGAACATCCTACTTTTCTGCACCAACTGGTCTAGGTAATGTGAACATAAGTCACAATAAACTCAGAAATTTAATGTCTTACTTTTCTGCACCAACCAGGCTATTTAAGACAAAAAACAACATGTTCTATGAAGAAAATTATGCTTGGACATCTATTATTTCGATTTCCAACTGTCCAGGGATCTTTAACAGCCAATCCGATTGAGTTTATTGAATAAAATATTGTTTTAACTAATGATATACGCAGACCCAAGACTAGAAGAGTTTACCTGTGAAGTAGTTTTTCCGATCTACCGAGACGCTTAGCAGCAAAACCCTTCAGCTGTTTGTTAACCTTTAGAGCCATCCATGTTGGTGACGTCTGATCTAAACAAACTGTTAATGGCGTTTCACCTTCATTATTCTTCACTTCTACGTCTGCTCCTCGTGCTAATAATAATCTAAAGAAATAATACAGATTTTAAATTCATATTCCATTTTATAAGGGAAGAGAGAGAGAGAAAGAGAGAGAGTTTAACCCCACTTGACACAAACTAGGTCATTTCAGGACTAACATTTAGTACAATTTTTTTCAATAATTCACTTGCGCATAGGGGTTTAGCAGTGGGAGAAAATCAGAGGACTTGGAGAAAACCCACGAGGTTGGACAGGCAACCCTACTCCTTGTCACGTACAACCGTACAACGGGAGAATTGAAACCACATCCGCATATGACGTCATATGTGCTAAAATGTGCAGGACCGTCGCCGATCTAGCGTTCTCCAAGAAGATGATTATCTTAATGAATTTTTTAATAATTTAAACATACTTACACCACACATTCATAATGAGATCTACGAGCTGCAATATGTCTACAAATAGAAAACAAAATAAATTCAAGCTACGTTCATGCATCCCCCAACTCTTCAAAATAAATTTGTTAGTCATGATATTTAATTAATATACAACAAGCCAACAGTTAGGCTGATGTCCCCTGCATCAAACCCCCAAAAAATTATTTATTTGCGCCTTTATATTTTTATAAAGCATCAATCAAGGAAATCGCTTATCACTCATTACTGAACTTGGTCGAGGTATTGATGTAATGAAACCATTGTGTTAACATGACCCAACACTACTTAATACCATGTAAAGAAATCTACACCAAATTTGAACATTCTACCTCATTTAGCAACAAACAGAGTTAAAGTGTCCCAAAATGGCAAAATGGTCAGACTAACCCATATTAACAGTCCTCTGCTCTCTCTGATGCTTTCCCTGAAAGAAGGAAGACAAAATCCTGACTACCCTCCAGAGAGATAAAACAGAATTAAATCAAACTATCAACTTACAGAGGTCTATCACCATGTTCATTAGGCACGTTTATTTCACATCCAGCAGATAGAACCAAGTTAATAATATCAACACTCCCAGCATATGCTGCCCAGTGTAGGCCAGTGTTTTCTTCCTGGAAATAGAAATCACAGCAATTATAAACACTGAGAAACTTTATTTTCACTAAAAAACCCACAGCACCTATATCATCCCATATACAAAAAGCCAACAGCGAGGCTGATGTCTCCCTCCTCCCTCCCAAAACGGTGACTAACAGACAGCCAGACGTACAGTTGTCTAGCCCAGAAAATATTCATCATCCAACTCAAGTCAAGATAATCAAATTTTTACACCAAGTTTTAGGGTGGTTGAATGGCAGGTTACTGCGTGCGTGTTGTATCGTAAGTCTGTTATTGGCCTGGTTTCGATTCCCCGGTTGTACGTTTGACAAGGAGTAGGGTCACCTGTTCAACCTCGTGGGGTTTCTTCAGGTCCTCTGGTTTCCTCCCACTGCTAAAGACCCTTACGCGCAAGAGAATTATTGAAATAAAATTGAACCATGTTAGTTCCGAATTGACCTGGTTTGTGTCAGTGAATGAATGTTAAACTCTCTCTATCTCCTTCCCCCCCTCCCCTCTCCATCTCTCTCTCGCTTAAATATTCTAGGTCAATTAGAAGCTTAGTTCTTGTGGATTATCATGTTCCAATCTCTGTATGATGACTTTGCTGTAATACTTTAGAAATTGTTTAATAGAAAGTAAGATAGTAACGTATAGCATCATTATAAAATTACTTACATCATCTTTCATGCCTGGATCTGCACCATGTGACATTAAGTAACGAACAGTATCAACATACTTTGACTCGGCAGCCCAGATCATTGGTGTCCATCCTCCGTCATCCTGTAAATTAACAACAATATGTTACATTAAATATAGCTTAACTTATATGCCGTTTAATTCCTCATGCCTTCTTACATATAAAATCTGTGATTTAATGATATATGTTGATTAAAAATATATTATTAATCCATCAAAAGTTTGCTTCAAATCATATTCATATCATATAACTACCCAATGCTGCGAGAATTTGTTTGTATCGGCCTTGTCACATGACTTGAATGAGGGAGAATCCATTTACATCTTGTATTTGTTGCTGTCCATTTAGACTTACTATTAAGTAAACATGTCTGTATGATTATATCAAGGTTTAACGTCCTACTGTTCTGCTCTGACTGGGCGAATGAAAAGGGACATACACCATACAGTGTGTTATGAGGGACCTTAAATAAAGCCATTTCACAAACATGTATTATTCTGTTAGAATGACTTACAGTGATATTAACACTCATTTTTCTAACTTCTACTAGATATTGTATAACAGCCATACTTCCTAACTTAGCAGCATAATGTAATACAGTCATACCATCTTCTCCCTACAAAATATACATCATATATTAAACATGCATTATGCAACAGCTAAATCTGTCTATTGCAGGTCTTTCTTTAGGTCTGTAATGTTATCTAAATTATTAATTAGACATTAATTAACTTATCCAGACCATAATCAACTCTCGATGGCATCGGATTTCTCCGATATTAAATAGATTAGTACAGTTCAGCCATATTTTGATTTAAGCTAATATCTTCGCTCGCAATAGAATAACTTGAATGAAATTTTCAAATTATTCATTTTATATTATCTATTTTCGAACTATTATAGCAAGAATGCATAGCTCTTTATCTGAATCATACATAATGTATCTTTAATTCTTATAACAGATCTAAAATACATTTCACTTAGAGCTTATTTTGAAGTGCGTAATTCCCCGGCTTAACCCTTTAGTAAATATCAACTACTTTGGTTACATGAAAAGGTAAGAAAGACGCTATGTACTTTGTGACAGAGAGAGTTTCATGTCCACTCGACACAAACTAGGTCATTTCGGCACTAACACATGGTTCAATTTTATCTCAATAATTTGCTAGCACGTAGGGGCCTTCAGCAGTGGGAGGAAACGAGAGGATGAGGAGAAAACCTACGAGGTTGGACAGGGGACCCTACGTCTTGTCACATACAAGTGGGTAATTGCAACCACACCACTAGACTCATGAACATAAATACTGTGTATAAATATAAATCCAATCAGATAGCATTATCAAGATATTGTATGATAGATTTATTATCATTGTCTACTATCATCAACAGATGCTCCAGCATTAACTAGTATCCAAGACTGGAAATAAGGCACCTGCCACAGACAAAGTCAGGCACAGATTCAGGGTTTGTATGGCACTAAATCTCCAGTGCCTGTCATTTTTTCCGGCACTCATTTGTCTGTTTTATTGATATTATTAATACATGTCCGCCATTAAGTTGAAAATGTCAGATACTATTTCAAAAACCGTTATTTCCAAGCCTGCTAGTATCATTCTTTACTATCAATAACTACCGACCCCATCATCAACAGATGCCCCAGCATTATCTAGATACTGTATGAGATTTTTTATATTACTAGATATTGTATAATAGATTTATTATTTTACTTACCCTTTCATCAACAGATGCCCCAGCGTTAACTAGATATTGTATGATAGATTTATTATCATTCTCTGTAGCACACATTAATGGTGTTCTTAACGTTTTATCCTGTATATGTACAACAGCTCCACACTGTAGAAAATAACAAAATAAACACATAAAATTATGGTATGGAACTATTACAAGCATAATTTATGTTAAATTGTTTCAATAGCATTTTGTAAGTAAACTGGAATATACAGGTCAAAATTACTGAGCGATGTTTCGACTTGGCTTTTCTAGCCATTGCTTGATAATGACTAGAGAAGTCGAAACGTCGCTCAGTAATAAGCAGTAATTGTATTCCATAGAATTTTGACTTGTTTATAATTTATGTTATCAAGTTTTGTACAATAAGCCTCAGGCTTATCAGATGTCCACACCATGTAGTGCTTTAAGATGGAAGTTTTGCGCAGATAGTGGCATTCCGGCCTTCTCTTAGTTTGAATTCTAAATGTCAAGGGTTCTATCAGCTTAAGTACACGCGTCTCATTCATCAACGACTGAGCACCTCATCTCCATCCTGCACCAGTGACATGGAGAAACAAGGAGGAACACAGACTGTTGAGAAAATGTATTATTCAAGATCTGGGGAACATGTGCTTTCTTCAGCTCATCTAAACATTTAATGTAATCCTAAATTTGACATAGAATGAAGTGTAACAAGTTTATTAAATAAGAGAGAGCAAGATGTGGGTTTAACATCCACTCGACACAAACTAGGTCATTTTGGGACTAACATATGGTTAAATTTTATTTCAATAATTCTCTTGCGGTCTTTTGCAGAGGGAGGAAACAAGAGGACCCACAGAAAACCCACAAGGTTGGACAGGCGACCCTACTCTTTGTCACGTACAACCGGGGATTCAAAACCACGCTAGTTGAGTCAATATCAGAGCTTATGATACAACGCGCACATGCTAACCATTCGTCCATCCAACCCCCACTCACCCCTTGGAGCGTAACAAGTTTTATTAAGTGACAATACCTGTACAAGAATATGAACAATAGCAAGATGACCACTATTAGCTGCTGCATGTATGGCTGTCTGATCTTCATGCTCACTATAACGTTGATTTGGATCCGACCCATCCACTGAAAAATAAAGATACAACCCATTATTTTGAATTACACGTTTAAGAAAGACTTGAATGAACTTTTAATTCTTTTTAGAGCGTTTATAAATAGAACTTAAATGATTTAATTGCAGTGTTTCCTGAAAAAGGAGAATGAGCAAGAATATGGTTGTCAATACCCAGTACCCTTGTATAACAAAAACCTAAGACAAAATTGTTTCCATGGAAACACAAAGATGATTAAATTGGAGAAATTTCTAATTTGCAAAAGGTAAATGAAATATTTTTCTGCAACGAATTAGGAAAAGGTACAACTATTACATTCTAAGTTGATGTGTATACAATCTAATTTAAAATACAGATCTATATTTCGTATCGGTTTTTTTTTACACTTTCGATGACCTCCACAGCATGAAGATCTGACCAGATGTAGTGGGAGGTTGCATCAGGGGTTATACAAGCAGCTTTTGACCCTATGACATCAGATATTTGATTACCCAATCAATGTTGATGTTTCTAGTAGGATATCCACAGTTCCATGCATAGCATGCCAATAACTTGCCATAGCAGACCGTGTCATCGGCTAATTTCTCACATCAACCAGAATGCCGTTTATATAACAACTCTTCCAGACAGTAAAGACAAGTAAAACGCAAGTTTGAACTATAAAAAACGAAACGAAATATGATATGTATTTTAATGAGGTTGATCTGTATACAAAGTTTGATAAAACTGTTTGACTTACTCAGTATATAAATACATTTTTCTACCTCGCCATCATATGCTGGTTGATATAATGATTTACTTAAGTTACGATATTTCTTTGGTCTGAAATTCAAAAATACATTTTCTTATACATTGTATATCTAATAAACGATTACAAGTGTCAATCTCAGGTCTCTGGTGGTCATTTGAGGGATTTTGAATTTCTTGCAAACAATAATATTCCGATAGTTGAATTTCTAAAAGGAATATTGAGAGAGAGAGAGAGAGAGAGAGAGAGAGAGAGAGAGCATTCGACCCTACTCCTTGTCAAATACAATCGGGGAATCTAAACCACACCAGTTGATTCAAAGACAGATCGCAAGATACAACTCGCACGCTCTAACCATTCAGCCATCAAACCTCCCTAAAAGGAATAATGGCCCAAGAATAGTTTCAATTCCATTCAGTATTTACAAATATATAATGAATGAGCATATTTAGGATATGATCAAAATCAGCCAACTTCACCAATAATTTTTTTTTTAATCTACTTTAATCCAAATCAAGAGATTATCTACTGTTGATATATTTTGGTTTGGTTTTCTTAAATAAAATTCAAGCCGTAATAAATGGATATTATTCGAAAAATGCAAATGATGATCAGTTTAATATATCAGGGCAATACTATCAGAATAAATCTCACCTTTCTTGTCCCAAATTATCCAGTATTTTCTGTAAGGTCTTTTTATCTGGTCCACTGGGTAAACTATCTGTTGAAATAAATTCACTTTTAATAAAGCTGACTAGAGCTAACTTTCAAAGAACATAAATATCTTGAAGACAAGGTTAACAATTCTAAAAGCCAACTCTCAAGCCTGGAAATAAGGCACCTGTTAATACATGTCTGGCACTAAGTTGAAAATGTCAGGTACTATTTCATTAGTGCTTGACATTTTGTCAGGTACATCTAAAACCTTTATTTCCAGCCCCACCCCCCCCCCCCCCGACTCTTAGTAATAATACCACAATTGAAAGATTCTTCTAGTACTCAAAGAAATCAAAGTGAATAAAAATTAAACTTTTAATATTTCAAGTCTGATTCCCATAGTTAAACTTATTTTGACGGTGTTTCCGACAATATGAAATGCTTGTAACAAATTACTATTCCTGTAGGACTGTGGTTCCGAATATTTTAAAACATGTGGACCAGTTAGGACATTTTATTAATCTGTGAGGGGTCAGAAGGCACCTGAAAAAATGCTAGAAGCAATGTTATGGTGGATCAACCCATAGAAATGAAATGGGGTTTAACGTCCTACTGTTCTGCTCCGACTGGGCTAATGAAGACAGACATACGTCATACAGTGTGCTATGAGGGTAATTTTGTCCAGACAGCGGCCTACTCGTATATCGAATTCTAACTGCCAAGGGATCTTTTATGTACATGCCAATGTATACATGGGACTTCGGTTTTTCATCCCATCCAAATGTACTTGTCAGACCCTCCTTCCTGCATCACTGACAAGGGGAAATCACGTCGGATAATCCTGATGAACATTCTCGGCCAATGCAGGGATTGAACACCCAACCTCCAAGCTAGCGAGCCAGTGTCTTACCCACTTAGCCACCGTGGCTCCCAACCCATAGAAAGATGATGACCATTACTGTTTTTTTAAATGAAATCTACTACTGGAATTCAACATTCAAATACCAATATTTTCATACCGAACTTTACTTTTTCATGAACCCACGTGGACTGCCCACAAACCTCTTTTGGTTTTTCAGGAAACTTCTAATTTTCACAGACCTAAGGTTAGTAAGCAATGTTCTAAATGAGTACAATTTGATTTACCTAAAGAAATAGTTTTTGATCCTAAAGAATATTTGATACCAGGTGTCTCTTTCTCACTTCCTTTCTCTTTATATCCACCTAATAAGGACATCTTTGCTATACTACTGAAAAATATTTACATAACAATTTGATCAATAAAGATTGCCATTTTAATTAAATATTCATTTCTTTTATTTTACAAGCGAGTAGTGAAAGCGCAATCTGATTAAAATACAGATCTATATTTCGTTCGTTTTTTTTCTTTTTCGATAACCTACACTACATGAAGATCTGACGAGCGGTTTTTGACCCTATGACATTAGACATTGATTAATCAATCAGTGTTGACGTTTCTAGGGGTTTACCCACAGTTCCTTGCAGAGCACGCCAAGAACTCGCCATAACAGACAGTTTCATTGGCTAATTCAAACATCAACTAGAACACGTCAATGATAACAATTATTCCAGATCCTAGTGTTGTGAAGACAAGTAAAACGAAATTTTGAAATATAAAAAACGAAACAAAATGGGATCTGTGTTTTAATCAGACTGAGTGAACACGGTTAGGACTCTTTAACTAGAATGCTCCGAGTTCGAATCCCAGCATGGGTCGATAAGCACCAAAGATCTGAGAGAGAGAGAGAAATGGGGTTTAACATCCACTCGACACAAACTAGGTCATTTCGGGACTAACATATGGTTTAATTTTATTTACATAATTCGCTTGCGCGTAGGGGTCTTTAGCAGTGGGAGGAAACCGGAGGACCCAGAGAAAACCCACGAGGTTGGACAGGCGAACCTCCTCCTTGCCACGTACAACTGGAGATTCGAAACCACGCCAGTCGACTCAATGACAGACTTTATGATACAGCGCGCGCACGCTAACCATTCAGCCATCCACCCCCCCCCCCCCCCAAAGATCTGAGGCAGCGCCTAAAGGGCTGACCAGTATAGTGATACCCAAGTCCATCTGTGTGTAGATTGGGGTGCATATAAGGAACAGCATCTCTTCTGAAAATTCCACTTCCCTTGCATTGCACACGTACATATGATTCAATTTTGTTTCAAAAATTTGCTTGCACATAGGGGTGTTTAGCAGTGAGAGGAAACCGGACGACCTGGAGAAAACCCACGAACTGGACAGGTGATTCTGCTCCTTGTCACGTTCAAGCAGTTAATCAAAACCACAATAGTTTACTGGATATCCAACAGGTTAACCATTTGGCCACCCAATCCTCTTAACACTTACAAAGATGTGAGAAAATTTAGTATATTCAAAAATAGTGGTATGGGATCAACAAGATACAGGCACAGAAAAATAAAAATAATTACGTTGCGGCTGTTTGACGTTTACTGATGCGGCCTTGTGTTGTAGATGCTGTATCTGATAACGTTGAAGGTTCATCATTCAAACTCAAGGTGACCTCGAACTGGAGCGATTCCTCACCACAATGTGGACAGTAATATTTTCCATCTTTAAAAACTTGACATTGTTTGTGAAAATTATGAATAGATGGTCCTTCTTTCCGACACTGATAAAATTTTCCCTGAAATTAGAGAAAACAGATATTGAAAAATACTTTTATAATTTCCTAATAGAGGCTATAAAGAAATGAAATGGGGTTCAATGTGATACTTTTCTGCTCCGACTGGGCTAATGCAGACGGTAATAGTAACTATGGGGGATGCTCGGTTGTCAGTCCGGAGCATCCTGAATTGACACAACTGCAATTGTGAGATTTTAAATTATGTCCTAGCAAAGATCAAAACTGTCAGTCCCAACACAAACTAGGTCATTTCGGGACTAACACATGGTTCAATTTTATTTCAATAATTCACTTGCGCGTAAGGGTTTTTAGCAGTGGGAAGAAACCAGAGGACCTGCAGAAAACCTAAGAGGTTGGACAGGCGACCCTACTCCTTGTCACGTACAAACGGGGAATCGAAACCATGCCAGTTGACTCAATGACAGACTTTATGATACAGTGCGCACATGCTAACCATTCGGCCATCCAACCCCTCGAGTAGAGTTATGAAGTAATTAAACACAACAAATATGTTTCAGCTGTCATCCCCCTTTTCAATAGGAATCAGTCATTCACAAAAACACAATGTTAAGATTTTTAGTTAATTGAATGATAACGTTAGCCTCTTTAGGGTTACACAAAAATTTTCTATGTGACCAAGGGCCATAACTCTGATTAATTATTCGAATTCATGGAAAATCATCTTATGAACATAAACATTGTGTATAAATTTTAAACCAAGTATATGTCGCTAATCTTTAGAGTCTCCTCAACAGCTTGCTATGTTATCAAGGGTAGTAAGTCTGGCAGAAACTATTGGAAATAAATTCAAAGTCAATCGGAGCATGCTTATTGTCTCTGATATCACCCTTGGTAATGAAATGAAATGAAATGGAGTTTAATGTCCTACAGTTCTGCTCCTAAACTGGGCTAATGAAGACTGGCATACGCCATACAGTGTGCTATGAGGGAAATTTTGCCCAGGCAGCGGCACTATCGCCTACTCTTATATCGAATTCCAACTGCCAAGGGATATTTTACGTGCATTCCAATGTATACACGGGACCTCGGTTTTTTGTTTCATCCGAAGGACTGGACAGCTGTCCTTGTCAGGCCCTCTGTCCTGCATCACTGACAAGGGGAAACCACGCCGGAAAATCGGGATGAACTTTCTCGGCCAATGCAGGGATCGAACACCCGACCTCCAGGCTAGCGAGCCAGCGTCTTACCCACGTGATCCCTTATCACCCTTGGTGGAAGTGGCCGTAAAACTCCAGGAACGAACGAACGAGGATGCTTACTCTTTCTAGAACACCTGATGCCACTTCTTGTGTATTAATTATAACTAACCTGAGTACAGTAATGTCCACAACCAGGACAACATTGATGAGCTTTAAGTTTAAGACGATGAGCTTCACAGATAGCCATGAAAGGTATTTTAACACCTGGTCTAACTAGCTGAGTGTTAGTTACTTTATTACAACATCCCATTACCTAAATCAAACAAATAAATATATCTAATTAATATATCATATTACAACATTAATCAAACAAATAAATATCTAATAAATAGGTCATGTTAAAACATGAAATGAGAATTTACAGAGTTGTAAGAGTGACTGGATAATCACAACTGTCTCTTCTCACTATAAATCAACCCAATAAGAGAGAGAGAAATGGGGTTTAACGTCCACTCGACACAAACTAGGTCATTTCGGGACTAACATATGGTTTAATTTTTATTTCAATAATTCGCTTGCGCATAGGGGTCTTTAGCAGTGGGAGGAAACCGGAGGACCCGGAGAAAACCCACGAGGTTGGACAGGCGCCCCTACTCCTTGTCACGTACAACCGCGGATTCGAAACCACGCCAGTCGACTCAATGACAGACTTTATGATACAGCGCGCGCACGCTAACCATTCAGCCATCCAACCCCCCCAACCCAATAAATATTTAATCAATATATACATGATACATTATGGAAGATTAGTTAAAAAGCTGGCAGTTCTCACTGTAAGAGTGAAAAAAAAGGTAATGTAAAAGAGCGAGAGAAAGAAATGGGGTATAACGTCCACTCCACACAAACTAGGTCATTTCAGGACTAACATATGGTTCAATTTTATATCAGTAATTTGCTTGCGCGTAGGGGTCTTTAGCAGTGGGAGGAAACCAGAGGACCTGAAGAAAACCCACAAGGTTGGACAGGCGACCCTACTCCTGGTGACGTACAACCAGGGAATCGAAACCCTGCCAATTGATTCAATGACAGGCCTTATGATACAGTGCGCACACACTAACCATTCGGCCATACATCCACCTAATGAAGACAGACATAAACCATACAGTATACTATGAGGGGAAATTTTTCCAATCCATACAGTGGCACTACAACCTATTGTTTAGCAAATTTGAACTACCACGGGTTCTTTTACGTGCATGCCAATGTGAACGGAGGACCTTGGTTTTCCCTCTTATTCCAATTAGTCCATGTGACAGACATGAGATTTTGGAGCATCATTACCAATTTGATGAATAAATTCATCCATGATTTTCAGTTAGCCTGGTGGCTGAAGTGTTGAAATTTAATCTATTTTGGCGGCCACCTTTAAAAATGGCCCCCGTTATTTCATTGAAATTGAGCACATCGGGGAAACCTTCATAACTCCTGAACAGATTGACCTATGGATATGGAATGTGGCTCACAATGTTCGCAAGAAAATGCTACATCTGGTGCTATATGATACATGTTGTTGAATGAATCATATATTTTCCAAATCATTTTTTTTTCCAAGTTTTCATGATCTATTTTCTAAGTTTACTACCAAATCATGTTCAGAGTAATTTTAGCCAAATTATGTGTGTGGTCTTCTTACGTTATTCATTTAGTCCAGTGATCCTCCCTGTACAGCTGCAGTGGCCACAAACTCAACAAAAGTCTTAAGTAGACTGTCAAATTTAAAATGTTAAACGTCGGCGAGGCAGGGCACCAAATTAGTGAATGTTTAGCTAGTGTGTCACAATCGAAACGATAATTGGGGACAGGTTGTTTCTGTGTTAAAATTTGTCCCCGAAGACAATTTTGAGATTATGTCACTTCTTTGACGTCATTTTAGGTTGGGGTTCTGTTCGATTTCCAAAATGGCTGCCAAAATTTAACGAAAAAACGAATTTGAAGTTGGGTGAGTATCACGCAAGGTAAGGCTTGTGATATATCATATATAGGGTTTTCGTAACCACTTGAATTTAAAATTATCTCTAAAAATGAATTATTTATTGGAATTTTCAATGAAACGGAAATGTTTGTTCCGCACAGGAATAAACTTAGAAGGGACAAATACAATTTGTAGAACCAGATATATGATGTTAGTGAACCCATTTTTTCCAGAACACCTGTTTCACACAAAATCTATTTTTTATCCAGACAGACGTATGGATATCAAGGAATTGCATAACAGAAAACTTACCTTCCGATCAACTGTATCAAGTGCTTGACAGAAAAGAGTACCAGTGGCTAATTTGTTAAAGGCAGCACCATTTATTTTACAACAACATAGGGGTATGATGTCCCGATCTGGTGATATACACTGGGTGTTCTGAAAAAATAAATAAATAAATAAATAAACAAGCGCACACTATTAATCATTACTTACACATTTGAAGAATGTATCAAAATCAGGCGTGCAAACCTTAAGACACCTAATTTTCAGGTTATCAGTACGACGAGGGAAACCCACATCAGAAATTTCCGATTAACTTTCTCAGCCAATGCAGGGATTGAACACCCGACCTCCAAGCCAGCGAGCCAGCATCTTACCCGCTTAGCCAACGTTACTCCCAAATATAGAATTAATATCGACATACCATTGCATCATTATCTGGTGTTTTTGGTGGGGTAACCGGATACGTTAAACCATTAGGTGTATTCGGTGTTAACCCTGGTTTCATGTCCTTTCCTACATTGTTAGTAAACCCTCCGACAATATTATTAAACGTCGACAGATCCCTGGGTATTCCTCCTGTTGGGCCACTAACCAGCAACGCCCTCAACGCTTCAGAATTCTTTGTTGCTAAACTAGAGATCGATGGTTTGGCATTTGCACCCATAGGTTTAGCCAATCCCTTCGATTTTGTGTTCGGCTGATCAACATTTGCGATTGGTTGTGGTTTATTTGTATCAGCTGCATTGTTTGGCTGACTAGATTGTTGGAGATGAGGTGGGAGTAGAGATCGGAGCCCTGATGGTGTAGGTGATGTTTTAACTTCAGGTACAACTGTAATAATCGGTGTCATGTTTCCACTTTCATCAGTTTTTCTTTTCTTACCTGAAATATATCAACAATTATTAAGAAATGTGTGTCTGCTGTATTATTATCATCTTTATCAAGAAATGAAATAAGTTTAACAGTTTAACGTCCTACTGTTCTGCTCCGACTGGGCTAATGAAGACAGGCATACGCCATACAGTATGCTATCGGGGTAATTTTGACCAGGCAGCGGCAGTATGGCCTAATCTTATATCAAATTCTAACTGCCAAGGGATCTTTTACGTGCATGCCAATGTATACACGGGACCTCAGTTTTTCGTGCGATCCGAATGACTAGACAGTTGCCTTGTCAGACTGTCTTTCCTGCACCACCGACAAGGGGAAACCACATCGAAAAATCCTGATGAACTTTCTCGGCCAATGCAGGGATCGAACTCCCGACCTCCAGGCTAGCGAGCCAGTGTCTTACCCACTTAGCCACCGTTGCTCCCCCAGAAATGATAGACAAAATGAAATGAAATGGAGTTCGGGGAATGATCGACAGATGATTCTTGCAATATTCTTTTTAATTGTCAATGAATCTTGTTCTAATTATGTTTTGTGTTACTGTCCCTATCAAATTTACATAATCTAATGTAGTTGCTTTAGCCATGATGAAATCTTTATCCATTTACATCCAAGGAGTAATGCATGTGTTATTGTGATATTCTACAAGTATAGAACTCGTTCACTTGGCGAATGAATACACAACAAATAAGTCCACTAATTTCTAGAATATATATTTACACTTGAAAATTCTCATTGCCTTTATTAAACAGGGTTTATTTAATTTTAGAGTCAAGCTCAAATACAATCTAATGGTTACACCTTTAGAAAATATATTTGCAAACTATCGCGTAAGAATATAGCGAGAGAGAGAGAGAAATGGGGTTTAACGTCCACTAGACACAAACTAGGTCCTTTCGGGACTAACATATGGTTTAATTTTATTTACATAATTCGCTTGAGCGTAGGGGTCTTTAGCAACCGGAGGAAACCGGAGAAAACCCACGAGGTTGGATAGGCGACCCTACTCCTTGCCACGTACAACCGGGGATTCGAAACCACGCCAGTCGACTCAATGACAGACTTTATGATACAGCGCGCGCACGCTCGCTAACCATTCAGCCATCCAACCCCCCTAAGAATATAGCCCCAGAGTTCATTCTATTAACCCATTGGTTGTTAGAGATTTGGCAGGTGTTCAGATCACATGGTATACCATTGCCCCGGCGATTTCATCTTCGCTTTAACTCTGTACATATTATCACGACCTTCATGTAATACCTTGCATATTTCGGCACTAATTTCGACTGGGTATTCACCCAGCTTGTGAGCCTATCAGATCCCTTGATTTCGCAAATACCCGGTCTCATGCTTTCCAGCTAAAATGTCTACCTGTGATAATCAAGTTGCAATGTTCAAAGTTCATTCAATGTCAAGGGTCAAGGATTCTGTGGAGATCGCTATAGTAGATTTGATTGTCTTAAGAGTCACAACTTCTGATTAGACGCTACTGTTCACGTGTCTGCAGTAAAGTAATCTAGCAACGTCCAGATGATGTAAAACTTGCAGTCATGGCTTCGGGAAAATGCAGTGATTTATGATGCATGAATATGTCTGATATGAATTGTTTGTTTAAAAGAAGAGTGTAATTTAGTATTACCTTAAAGCAATAATTTCATATTTTCTAAGAAAGTCAAAACATAATTATTTCTATGTCTTTTGCTCAATAGGTTATCAACTCACTATTATACGACCATGGGCATTATTTCCCACACTTAAAAATCATTTACACAGGAAATAACACAATTACCTCCCTTGTTTTCCCATTGCCTCCATGCATTAGCTTCCTTCAAACGTTGGAATTTTAAGTTGAAAATGATATTTTTGCCAATTTCTCAGCTGGCAATAGTGAATTACAGGATTAATAGGATTATTTTTTAACAAGGTAGGACGGTTTATGGATACCATCTATTTTAAGGCTTTATTTTAATAAATTTTAAAAATATAACTTAAAAATATGAAATTGCAGCTTTAAAGCCGATGGTATTTAATTTATTTATATTTAATTAATAAAACAGAATAGCTTGCTTAACATTCATACTGTATACGATAGAAGATGATTACATTGTATTAATAAACTCAATTCGTCAACCTTATAGAGTGAAATGGCTTCCTGTAGATTTGTCAAAAGCCTTTGTCTCCTAACTTGGTAGTTGACAAGTATCAGCGTTTGTTTCATATAACATAAATCATAGTAGTTAGAATCAAAAAATATTTGCCGATAAATTGTACTCATACTAATTTTAAAATATGCAGTATCAATCACGAAACTTACATGTAGACCTTCTTGTACAACTTTCGAGATGCTATGTCTAAATTTTACACGTAAACATACATGTATAAGCTTATAGGTTGCATAGGGTACATGTATATGTAGTAGGAATACGGAAAGTCAGATGTAGAAAAACTGTTGAGCAAGGAATAATTCAGAATGTGTACCCAAAATAAGTGAATTATAATGAGGTGAACACACTAGTGTCCTTTGTATAAATATATGACATGTACATTAAGTACATTTGTGTGTGTGAATAACTTTATTTAATATCCGCTTCCGCCAAAGTGATTTCGATGACAATAAATGTATATTGTCACAGCGGAGATTTTACGCCCTTTTCCACCTACATGTAGGTGATATCGCGTACGAATATAGAACCTGAGTGTAGCCTATCCCTTGGCTGAATACATATACATAATTTGTAAAATAATTACATGGCACTTTTGTGACCTTCACAGAACATACCCCACCTTGCACACAAACACATCCACACCATATCTTTTAAATGTGTCATACGGCATAATACATTATTATCATATACCAAAAATGGTCAAGATTGGTTCAATATTATTTGTGAAGTATCACAGCGTAAGAATATAGTTCCTGTGTTGACCCCAACATAGGGGTGGGCGATATCTGCTATTTTCAACATTGCGATATTTCAGTATTCATATTGTGATATCGCTATATATTGTGGCGATATCCAGTATGCTGTTTGTTTGTAAAATAATCATGATATAGACCATAATTATAGCGTATCGCATTTTTTAATATTTTGTTTTGATTTTTCAGGATGACAGATCGATATATCAATGTAAACAGGGTTACGGGGGAGGGGGGCAGATTTTGCCTGCACATATATGAGAAACAAGTAACACCCATATCAGCGAGTCATAATATTTTAATCTAAGAAATAAAACAAAACGAAAACACAACTAAAAACAAACCCACTTTATGCGGATAAAAAAGGGACAGAATTACGAAATTAGTTTTCATTTCCCATTCTTTGGGAATTTGTTTAAGTCACTATATAACTCCCTTTTTAAAACACCATATAGCTGTCTAAAATTCAAAAACAATTTACAACACTACTTAGTGTTCAAAATATGATCAGATAGTAAACACTAAAAAACTAATTGTATCCACTTGTAAAAACCACATAACCTTAGTTAAATAAGGAAGACAATTAAAACATATCAATGGTCAGTTTGCGACAATGTAAGGTGTAATACAGTTCAACAATTAAGCTCTCAGTTCAATCTAAATTTTTAGCTAAAAAGACCAACATGTTGACTTTTGCTGGTTTGAGGCGTGTTTTTGAACAAGTAACTACGTTTCCGGAAGTACTGAATAAACGTTCTGATGGACAGGATGTTGCAGGAGCACATAAGTATTTTCGGGCGCATAGGGCTAGGTGAGGATAAATATTGCAATTGTCCTTCCACCAACTTAACGGATTATGCTCGAAGTCAATAGATGGGAGAAAAAGGTAACGCTCTAATTCTTTCACGATCTGTTCTTCCGGTGATAACGATATATCTGCTTCAGATGACTCTCTCCTCTTAAACAATTTTCCCAGATTCATCTTTGGTTTTTTTCTTAGCACCACGCTACCATCATCTTGGGACATACTTTCATTTGTATCAGATGGCGATGATGTGATAGACAGCGCAGGTGGTATTGTTTTTGTTGATGCGATGAATCTAATAAGTATGTCGTTGATCTCCGGCTGTGTATTTGGTGGGAGATATTTGTCTTTATACCTTGGGTCTAGCATTGTTGCTATTTCTAGAAGAATTCTTGATTCTGGGTCTGACTCAGCGGAATATTTTTCATTTAGATATTTTAAAATCTTAGATTTTATTTCTTTGGTCATCTCAGTATCCTCTGGTTCGTTGACTAAAATTTCATTATTTAGCAAATGTAATACTGGTACTACTGATGAAATCGATACGTAATCTTCACCACTTAGGGCATCGGTGAAATCGGCCAAAGGCGCCAAAGCTTTGTTAACAGACTCCATGACACATACAGTCTGCCATTTTGGTATTAATGACAAACTTTTGCGGTCTGGAGAGAGAACTTGCGTGATTGCTTTCTCTTGTTCTAAATATCTTCCTATCATTGATTGAAGAGATCCCCAACGCGTGTCGCAGTTTGATATTAAACAGTGTTCTGGCATATGTAATTTTTGTTGTATTTTCAAAAGTTCACGTTTTTTCTTCCAGGAATAAGAAAATGCTGATACTACTTTTTTACAGGAAGCTACAGCCTTATCGATGCGTTGGTCTTTTAATGCATTGTTTATGGCCAAATTCAATCTGTGTCCAAAGCACTGGAGACGAAGATAATTATTTAACGATGCTGCTTTTGTGATATTGGCTCCATTATCAGTTGTTATGCATACCATGTCAGTTTCTCGAAAGTCCCATGCTGTAATGATCTCCCTCAAACCCAATGCCAAATTTTCAGCAGTATGGTCAGACGGAAAATATAAAGTCTCCAGATGTCTGGACTTGAGTCGCCAATCCTCGTCTATAAAATGCACAGTGAAACCCAAGTAAGGCTCCATATTTCGGCTGCTCCACATATCTGTAGTAGCCCCAAAATAACAAACAGGCCTACGTCTGATCTCCTCTAAAACCTTATCATGTACAGTGTTATATAAAGCAGGGATGGCAATGTCTGAAAAATATTTTCTACCAGGTAAACAATATCTAGGATCAAAGGTTTTCATCATATTTCGGAAACCACTTTTCTCAACAGTAAATATGGGTATCATATCTTTAGCCAAAAAGTGAGTAACTGAATTTGTCATGGATATCCACTTCTTAGATTTTTTATCATAAGGAAATGAGTCCTTTAGCGACATCTGAGTGGTGGTGGTGGTGGTGGTGGTGGTATGACAAGAATTCGAAGACAGTTTTCTATATTTGATACTTTGTTCATTAAAACAACCTTCAAGTTTCTGTTTACATGCGGTATATTTCGTGGGGTGGTGAATTTTGAGGTGTTGATACAGGTTCGTTGTATTCCCTCCTTTAGCGCCGACTGTTCGCATACAAAATCGACAAACAATAGTTGTCTGCTGTTCGTCAGATTCGTCATAGCCGAAATACAACCAAACATCGCTTGTACAATTTTTCTTTGGAACAAGTTGTCGTCCGCCTCTAAATAACGGGTTATCGTCAGATTGAGTTGAAACTGACGACGAATTGACGCCGGCATCTTGTCTAATTCCATGAACTTCGATTTGCTCATCAAATTCTAACTAAGTCATTGCATTTACTTTAGCGAAGAATAATTTAATTTTTACCGGATATTTTCCCCGCATCAGCTGACTGTAGCTACGAATAACAAGACTTATTTTAAGAAGAAAGGGAATTAACTCTCATTTTCAACACCGCGATATTTTTCGAAGACGATATTAGTGACGATACGATAATGCAGCTATTTTTTTACAAGGCGATATTTTCGTTACTAGAATTTTCATACCGGTTATACCTACAATATCGAAACATCGCCCATCCCTACCCCAACAACTCAATTTTTGGCGCGTTTTTGACCATGTGACTTACCGTTCTGCGTATTGCGGAGTGATTTATGATGTATGGCACTGTGCTGTATGGATGGTTGATTTAGATTAACTGAACCTGCGAGTAATGAAGTAATGTGTAAAAGCTCATCGTATATAATTTAAAATTTGGATTTGATAGCCGCCAATGATTAATCGATTACATCAACTTGCCACGATGTGGAAGTTTTAGATAAAGAACAAATGATCACAGGTCTAAAAATTTGCAAGATGCTCACACTGTTCGCATACATGCATAGCCCACGTAATAGATGTACGTTCAAAAAAATCTTAACCGATATAGATTGTCGGTAAATGACGCTCCCCCCCCCCCCCCAGATTAATTAACAAATCACTTGGTTAGTAATCAAACCGGCCTGTACATGATACATATACACGTTTCCACGGCAGCATTTTTGTTTTACTAGGCTTCAAATTTATTATAGACAAAAATAGTTTGAGCCTCGCTCAAGGTGAACACGTGTATTCAACTTAAATAAAGTACATTTTTCTTCAACATGCAAGATTCATTACGATATTGCCACGCAAGCGATTCACCATAATGCACGATGAATCACTATGTTCCAACGCGAAACACTGTGATTTGGCACGCTGGCGATTCACTAAGAATCCCCCGGAAAAGCAGCATTTTTTGGCCGTATTCGATGATTCGAGTCCAAAACTCTTGCAACACTCTGTACATACCTGCTAGAAACACAGTTGATTGGCTAAAATCAGATTCCTCTTGTACATTCGGATTCTCTTCTGTAACTATTCAAATGAAAATGTCAATTATAAATAACTAATATAATATAATTATAAAGATAAATATCTAAATAAAAGAGAGAGAAATGTGGTTTAAAGTCCACTTGACACAAACTAGGTCATTTCGGGACTAACACATGGTTCAATTTTATTTCAACATTTCTCTTGTGCATAAGGGTATTTAGCAGTGGGAGGAAACCGTTGGACCCGGAGAAAACCCACAAGGTTGGACAGGCGACTCTACTCCTTGTCACGTACAACCAGGGCTCTCAACACTATGTCGGCTTGTTGCAACACGATGAGATTTACTTCCCTTCGCCAACTTCCTTTACAATTAACGATTAATGGGATTCGTCGATAAAAATAGCACAATCATCAAGGGCAGATAACTTGAATGTGTCCTCCCCATGGATTAACCCAGAGGTTAGTGGAGTAGAACGGACTGAGACCACTGGGGATAGAGACTATGGAGCTGAAGAAGCTAAGAGTTAAAACTGGGAACTTACTTTCTGATTTACGTTTTCTGTTGGCTAAACTTTGTTCATTATTTTCTTCACCTACAGATTCTACAATAAAACAGGAGATACATGTAGTGTAGGTTATACTCTTCATTATAAACATATTAATTAAATTATATATGTTACCAAAGACTATTTAAACCGGGAGTTTGTACGACAATTGTAATACAATTTTGCGTGAGAAACATCTTAATTAAATTATAAAAGTCACCAAAGACTATTTAAATCAGGGGTTACCATTCTTTTATGTGCCAAATATTTGTACAACTTCAGATGTGCCATATATTACCTTAGTGAAAGAAACGTTGGTGATACATTTTTGTGCAATAATTAAAGAAAGTGTGCAAGAAATAGCTTTATTTAACATCTACTAACAATTTAGTAATATCACCGACAATGAGATATTATATATACAGTTACATATTCATATGGTCTGATTAGCATGTTTCAAAGAAAGTCACACAGGTTCTTTTTTATATCTTATCATTATCATCATGAAGTGCAACGTTCCACTTGGAATAGTCCATTGAGCAACTTGGACCAGTCCAATGCACAACTTTAAATGGTCCAATGTAGAATTTGGAATGGTCCAATATGCCACAAGTTGGCCACCACCGACTTGAAGGTCGTCAAGGTCGCCGGGATGTAAATAAGGTTAGGGCATGTGATTGTTAGCGAGATTGTAGGTTAGGGTTAGGGTAAGCATTAGGGCTTGGTCCAAGGTTAGGATTAGAGCAAGCCCTGTTTACATCTCGTGACCTTTGACAAAACATGGAAGTTGGCCTTATCAAATAGATCTAACCGTCAGTAAATGAGGTACTGTATTAGATTCAGTTACTATAATGATACATTATGGGAGGTTAGATAAAGAGCTGGCAATTCTCACTATAATAGTTAAAGATAGGTTGCCAGGCAACAAAACATACGCCCACAGCAGCTAAATCGTCCGGGCAGTCAACAAGTATTGTCGCATATTTTTACTTCTTTCGGTAATGAAACATTTATAATACACTAAAATCTGATTAAGAGTAACAACTCATGAAGTAATTATCAGAAAACGATTAGAATTTGTTTGGTTTTTTATAAAGTTCTGCCCCATGCTAACGTTTAGTATACAAAACTTTTAATATCATGGATTTAGCTGTTCAAGTCATAAAAATTCATTGAAAATCAATATACTTGTTCGTCTCAAGCTCTTAAACTCTGTGTATCAATCTGAAGTCAACTCTGGCAGTAATTATCGGAAATCGCTGAAAATCAATAGACTTCTTCGTCTCATGACCTTAAACACTGTGTATCAATTTAAAGTCAATCGGATATTAACTTTAGCCTCTAGAGCGTCCGCAAGATTTTTCAAAGTGATCAAGGGCCATAACTCTGGCAGTAATTATCTGAAATCACTGAAAATCAATAGGCTTCATTGTCTCATGACCTTAAACACTGTGTATAAATTTAAAGTCAATCGGATATTAACTTTGACCTGTTGAGCGTTCCACAAGATTTTTTTAAGTGATCAGGGGCCATAACTCTGGCAGTAATTATCGGAAATCGCTGAAAATCAATAGGCTTATTCGTCTCATGACCTTAAACAGTGTGTATAAATTTAAAGTCAATCGGATATTAACTTTGGCCTGTAGAGCATCCACAAGATTTTTTGAAGTGATCAAGGGCCATAACTCTGGCAGTAATTATCGGAAATCGCTGAATATCAATTGGCTTCTTCGTCTCATGACCTTAAACACTGTGTATAAATTTAACGTCAATCGGATATTAACTTTGGCCTTTAGAGCGTCCACAAGATTTTTTGAAGTGATCAAGGGCCATAACTCTGGCAGTAATTATCGGAAATCGCTGAAAATCAATAGGCTTCTTCTTCTCATGACCTTAAACAGTGTATATAAATTCAAAGTCAATCAGATATTAACTTTAGCCTCTAGAGAGTCCACAACCAATTGTGGACGCTGGACCGACGGACGGACGGACAGACGGACGGACGGACGGACGGACGGACGGACGGACGGACGGACGCGACGACAATATACGACCACATTTCAATGTGGGCGTATAAAAACTAAATAATGTAACGGCAATTTGCTGAAAATTTCAATCAAATTGATCCACTATGAACCAAAATTTTAGCGATTGAATATTGGGGCTAGCCTCGATCATCATTACTAAAGTCAGTAGGATAAAGAACATAGTCTCAATTATCGATTTTTTGATTTAATTATGAATGGAAGTCGAACAGCAAATCGGAACGTAATCCAATAAAGATCGCAGGCTAGCGATGCTATCAAGAGTTGATTATGGTCTGGATAAGTTAATTAATGTCTAATTAATAATTTAGATAACATTTCAGGCCTAAAGATTAAGAAAGGCCTGCAATAGGCAGATTTAGCTCTTGCATAATGTATGTTTAAGTAGAATATATGATATAATATGCATGAACATGCCTATATACCGTAATATCTAAAAAAAAACGGGTGGAGTATATATTTAATTTCTTTCATTTGGTTTTCTGTTTTGGTTTTTACAGGTTGTAGCATTATGTCCAGACAAATCATACAGCAATAATTGATATTACCTTTACTTAGATCAAGGTCTGTACCACTAGCACTACTATCAGTATCTGAATATACAAAAAAACAAGCAAGCTTAAATAGAGTTATCTCCCTTGGCACATACTTATTCCTCACCATAGTTAAAACTTAAAGAGGCATTATGTAAGATTTAGATAAAGAGCTGACCGTTCTCGCTATATTTCAAAAATAGATAATGCAAAATGAATATTCAGATTACTTTATTTTGAGCGAAGATATTAAGGGTTGTAGTTTGACAAGATGTGTGCAATGAGCGTAAGTGGTTCTCAATTTTTAAATTAAATCATTAAATGGCCGAACCATTCAATCTACTTAAATTCGGAGCCATCCAATGGCATCAAGAGTTGATTATGGTCTCGTCATGTTAATAAATGCCTAATTAATAATTTATATAGCATTTCAGGCCTAAAAAAATAGGCAGATTTACATAATCTATGTTTAATGAATGTTACAAACCTCCATATTTCCCAAATAAATGTACATTTAAAAACTTGTAATTCTTTGATTTGTTAATGATAAAGAAGCAAACCAAATAATCAGTAAAAGTTTGTTGTATTCAAATATCCACTATAGTGAGGATCATATTCCCCACCTTAATCCTGACAAACTAGGTCATTTCAAGACTTACATATGGTTCAATTTTATTTCAATAATTCTCTTGAGCGTAGGGGCTTTAGCAGTGGGAGGGAACCGGAGAACCCAGAGAAAACCCATGAGGTTGGACAGACGACCCTACTTCTTGTCACATACAACCGGGGAATCGAAACCACGCCAGTTGACTCAATGGCAGACATTATGACACAATGCACACGCGCTAACCATTCAGCCATCCAACCCACCCTCTGCTTAACCTAAAAATAATTGAACTTTATTTGAAAAGTCTCTGCTTTCTCTGGGAGCTAGGAGACAAGACAGATACACGTGATAGTGTTGTGATTCCAATTCCATCTTTTCGATAATAACGAAAGATCCCCATTATAAAAGAAATGAAATGGGGTTTAACGTCCTTCTGTTCTGCGCCTAAACTGGGCTAATGAAACTGAGCTTACGCCATACAGTGTGCTATGAGGGAAATCTCGCCCAGGCAGCGACACAATGGCCTACTCTTATTCCATATTCTAACTGTCAAGGGATCTTATATGTGCACGCCAATGTATACACAGAGCCTCGTTTTTTCGACCCATCCAAATGACTAGACCATAATAAAAGAGTAAGTGTTTCAATTCCTTACCTTTACTTGGCGACACCAATTCCTGAAGAATAACAAAAAAAAAAAAATTTAGCATGACCCTCAAATATTTATTACAGATACCTTCCAAGAATGGACAATGTATTTTCATCAATATTTAAGGTTAAATTAAGTAAGGTGTGTTTTAGAACAGCAGACTGATTTAAACAGAGGATTGGGGAAACAGACAATGCCCAATAGACTGGGGAACAGGCAATGTGAAATAGACTGGGTAATAGTCCATGTGAAATAGATTGGGGAACAGTCTATGTGAAATAGATTGGGGAACAGTCAATGTGAAATAGATTGGGGAACAGTCTATGTGAAATAGAGACTGAAATGGAGTTTAACATCCAGGACACAAACTAGGTCACTTTGGGACTAACATATGGTTCAACTTTATTTCAATAATTCGCTTGCGCGTAGTGGTCTTTAGCAGTGGGAGGAAAAATAGACTGGGGAATAGTCTATGCCAACGAGATTGGAGAACTGTCAATGCCAAAGAGATAAAGAAACAGCAAAGACCAAAGAGATTAGGGAACGGCAAATGCCAAATGGATCAGGGAACTGCAAATGCTATATAGTGATTAGGGAACTAAAAATGCTATAGAGATTAGGAAACAGTCAATGGCAAAGGAATTTGGTGAGCAGTCACAGAATCAATGTCAAACGGATTTAGGGATTAGGTAACAGTCAAAGCCATCTCCCTGTTCAAAGAGTACAATTGTATCTATTATTATCGTGTTTCAAGAACGTGCAATTTTATTTCACCATTAACAGATATGCTAGCCGTGATGTTGGCCAGTAATAAACAAACCAGTAGAATTCACCTTAAAATGTACCCTACTACCTGAATTCACCCCCTAATTTGGTCTTTTTGAAGTTCACTCACCGTTTTAATTTTAGAATTAGGTGATAAACTATTTTTTCTCAGGAGATCCATCACACTTTTCCCTTTGAAAGACTTGGATTGTAGGACTTTTTTACATCCAAACTTGGAACGTCGTTTAAACGCTAAATGGTTATTTCTCGATAAAATATCCATGAAAGTTCGATCAGGAGATTTTATCCCTGACTTTACTTTTTTATTAACTGTTTTCTCATCTGTTCGTAAATTTGTGAAACTTTCATCCACGGTTTTTTCACTACTTTCTTCCACAACATCCCCACTGGTCATTTCAAATTTCTTTTTCTTATAGTTTTTTTTCTTGTTTGGAAAGTCATAATTCCCTGATTTTCGCTTTTTTAACTTTTTGAATTTGAATTTTTTCGATTTGGCAGATGTTTGTTTTGCGCCACCTTTGCTACTACTACTAGTTTCGGACGGTGCAATGTTGTTTTCGGAGGTCACTTTAGTAGAATCTAGCACTTTACTACTACTACTGTCACAATTTAAGGCGTTTTCTAAATCGGAAACTTTAACTTTCATGTTGGCTATTGGCGCTAAATTCACCATTTTTATATTAATCGCATTAGATACAGGAGCGCCAGACTTTCTCGCTTTTGGCACAGATTTGACATTGTTTTGTGTTTTACTATTTGCTGCTTTGGGTTCTTGAGAAATTTTTGGTAAAAATGTTTCGGTATTTGATTGTTCAACTGGTGTGTCCGTCACAGTGAATAATTTATTTTCAGAATTTGTTTCTTCTGCGATCTCAACGCCGTTTGTGCTGACAACAAGCGGTGAAGGGATCGCATTTGTTATGCCATTCTCCTCCTCCACCTTATTATTGTTAACATTTACGTCACTAGAAGTTTCGATGGATTTTACATCGTTTGTGTTACTATTATTATTGTTTGCTTTCGATTCATCGTGATTAAGTAAAGTTTTATTATTTTCAACAACTTTTAAATTATCTTCCGGCAACATTTTGTCAATCAAAGTGACTGTATCACTTGTCACTCTGCTGCCGTTAGTTACAGATTTCTTGGAAACTGTCGTCACATCTTGTGTGTCCTTTTCTTCTGGCCCAATACCATTAACATGCTCTGCCTCTGGTACTTTGTCAGGAACCAACTAAAATTAATAAAGCACAAGGTAAATAATGTTTCGAATCAGAGAGAAAGAAAGAAACAGGGTTTAACATCCACTCAACACAAACTAGGTCATTTCGGGACTAACACAATACATGGTTTAATTTTATTTCAATAATTTGCTTGCACGTAGGGGTCTTTAGCAGTGGGAGGAAACCGGAGAACCCGGAGAAAACCCACGAAGTTGGACAGGCGACCCTACTCCTTGCCACGTAAAATCGGTGAGTCGAAACCACACCAGTTGACTCAATGATGCAGCGCACACGTGCTAACCATACAGCCATCCAACCCCCCAGCATCTATAAGACATAGTCAGGCACCAATTCAGGTAAATCTCTTTGGTGGCACAGAAATTTTCATTTTCTTATCTTCTGATTTCTTTAAACAGCAGCTATCAGTACATGTAACATATACTAGATCAGTGTTTCTATTACCCAAAACATATTTCATTACATTAAACGGGTATTATGGTAGATTTGTTAACGAGTTGACAGTTCTCAATATAATAGTTAAACAATAGATAACATAAATAGAATATGCTGAAAATTTCAGTCAAATTACTCGACTCTGAACCAAGATATTAGCTTTTTAATTTTAGCCTAGTCTCGATCACCAAACAAAGTGTCAATTATCCATTTTTACATTGGCTTTAAATATTCATAGCCGATGGGTTTAAATATGTTGGTGTTAGTTAAGCAACATGTATCTTAACTTTGTTATTTTAACACACACGTGTGGAAAATAAAAAAGCTTAAAAAGAAAACCAGTAATTTAATTTTTTAATTAGGATGCGTCATTAACTTCAACCTCTGACCATTTCTGTTAGAAAAGTTAAGCTGGTTTCTCTTATCCTCCATATCAACACCAGTAGCTAATATAGTGGTCTTCTAAGTATATAAAACTTTTGATGTCATTCGTGTCTTTATTTAAACTTAAACTATGTTTCCATGACAGTCACTTAACATATCGTGGGCCAAGTGTCAAAAGAGTGTATCTGAGAATTTCTAAAGATTAAGAAATAGGACCTTTTGCATTTCAAAATTTCCACAAATCAAGATTCAACATTTGGAGACATGATACCCAGAACAGTTCTAATTGGCGTAGTGTTACACTGCTTATACAGAAATGTGCTCACGATATATACATGTGCTCACCCGAAAACATTTTGCCTATAAATCTACTGATCATTGATACACACCAATGCTTTATCTTTTAGATCAAAAATCAATTTCTTCACAAGACTGTAATTATAACTTGAGTAATGAAACAGATTACACAAAACAATATTCTCATATGATCAGATACTATAAGCCTGCACATTGCACAATTGATATGATCATCTTACAGGTATATATTTCAATCAGTTTTATTATTACAGAGACCAAGGTTCAGTTGCAATCTACAGCATATCCATCTAAAGCTTAAGCTAGATTTACAGGGGGGTAACACCAATTAGATATAACAGCCATTGCTAAATAGGTCACAGCCCAAGCAGAAGCAATGGGTTAGCTAGCTCAACTGTTTCCTTGTATTTCAACTCAAAGGATTTTTCAGACTACAATGGCTCTTTTAAACCAAATGCATCTATTACATGCACAATGTTTTAACATTAAATTGAATTTTGAAAATGCAAAAAAAAAGACAATAAAACTTAAATCGAATTATTCACGATTAAAAGTCAGTAATATAGGCTAGACATACACGTAAAGGTGTTAAATATCAAAAAAAAAAATATCAAAAGAATGTTTAGATGCATTTATTCATTTTGACCTATTTCCATAAATGCAGCTAAATGTGCATACCACTAAGTCTTATGGGGTGAAAACCACACTTCAGAGAATCAAACTTTGGTCAATTACCGGTATCAAGGAAATACACTTCCTACATGAATCTATATAAACTCTGGATAATAAAAATAGATTTCCTTTTGTAAAGATCTAAAAGTAATAAGACCTAAACTAGAAAACTGTACAAATGAACATGATGTGATATAATGGTGTACCTTATAATACTGTTATAAGGTCCATGATATAACTTATATACCAATTTCAAATGTTGATTTAATAACAACTAAAGAGAGAGAGAAATAGGGTTTAACGTCCATTTGACACAAACAAGGTCATTTTGGACTAACATATGGTTCAATTTTATTTCAATAATCAATAATTCGCTAAAGCCTAGAGGTCTTTAGCAGTGGGGGGAAACCGGAGGATCCGGAGAAAACCCACAAAGTTGGAGAGGCAATCCCACTCCTTGTCACATACAACTGGGGAATAGAAACCACGCCAGTTGACTCAATGACAGACCTTATGATACAACGCAGACGCACATGAACTTAAGAATCATATTTTATCCGGTACCAGGGATCCATCCACACACACACTGAAGTCGACTGACCATGGAATTTAAGCTGATCATTTGAAGGATTATGAATCCATTTGCAAGAGTTTAATACCAGTACAAAATTCCCATTCAGTATTCACAAAGTCAATTACTGATAAACTGGATTTGAAATATCACAACACTTGTCAATCTCTGTAGATCCATGCCCAGAGATTATTGAACACTGACATTTGAATTTTGTTTTCTTATAAACATGGATTATTCCATTAAATATTAGATATTGTCTGATGATCAAACATTCTAGACAGAGCAATACCCTGTCTTCTACGAAACCAATCATAAACAGCAAAAACTAGTCATACTTTACAGTGGTAACATAGCCAAGTAAAATTTAAAATGTCTAAATAATACAGAAGACAAACATTGTGCTTGTGCCTCTGCCAGTCTTTCCCATCTTCATTCTTCAAACTTATTCTTTAGTTATTAACTTAGTGAAACATGCATACACATTAATATTATAATCGATTCAAACTTATAATCTGGCTAAAACAATTGGAAAATGCTAATTGTAGGCCGGCTGGGGAGGTTCGGGAATTTTTAGAGTCCACAATGGCCGCTTTATATAAATGAGTATTTGGGGGGGAATACTAACCTTAAGCCTTTTTAGGAGGCTGAACTTGGATCCAATTTACCCTTTATCCCTCTTAAAAGGGTTAAGGTTAGGGTTAGTATTTCCCAAAATAAACATTTATATAAATGGACCTACAATAGCATCTCCCAAAACAATTAAGTTAGGGAACCTGACATTTCACAACTTCAATTTTTTTATGCCAATAAAATTCCACAACTAGATTAGTTTAGAATGTGTTTCTCGTTCCAAGTTCAATGTTACATAACAGGTCTGGAAATAATGATTTTATTTGTACCTGACAGACATACCGTCAGGAACTATTGAAACTGCACTTCAATTCAACCACACATACTGATATTAAATACATATACAGGTCACAATTCTATGGAATACAATTACTGCTTATTACTGAGCGATGTTTCGACTAGGCTTCTCTAGTCATTATCAAGCAGTGATAAAATATGACAATATATACATGTACACAACAATACTAGAATGTTGTTGTCTTCTTTGGGTACATGTAATTAAAAGGTATTTCTGGTTGGTCAGCATTAACCAAGTATTGTATTCCATAGAATTGTGACCTGTACATGTATATTCCAGTTCAATTACTAAATGCCATTGAAACAATTTATTAAATAAATGGTCTACTATAATGCATGTTTAATTCAATTTACAAATGATATATTTTAGATTTGATCAATATAGCTTGTGTCAATTGTAAATGTACATGTATACTGTAGATCATTGATCTTACTCATTTAATTCGTGAGGAAAAATAAACGAAGGTTTAACCAGTACAGGCCTGTACGATATTCATATTCTAGGAATTTGAGGCAGTCAGGTTGAGTGAGAGATGTTCTATGAATTATAAATTGTGTTTATAAAGCATTTCCAATAAGAGAAGAAATCAGGGTAGAAATTGGCTAGATCTACTTCTTAAGGCCAGCTCAATTTTCGTCAAGGTCGCCAAGATGTAAGTATAAGGTTAGGACATGTGATTGTTGGCGAGATTGCAGGTTAGGGTTAGTAAGTATTAATTAAGGCTAGGTCCAAGGTTAGGGTTGGGATTAGGACTAGCCCTGTTTACATCTCACGACCTTTGACCAAACATGGAAGTTGGCCTTATCAAATAGATCTAACCATAACTGTTGGTGCTAGCAGTACTGATCTGTAGCCCCTTTCTTTAACTTTCAGTACTGAAGTTTGACAACAAAACTGATTTTGTTAGAATCTAATAAACAATATCTTACAAATACAGTTTTCTAGTATTTCTCAATATTTTATACCGATATATAAACTTCTGGATGCTAAAACTAGTGATGTGCGTTTTTTAAATTTTCTTTCGGTTTCGGTTTTTCGGTTTTCCTGTGGCAAAAAAACTCAGTTTCGGTTTTCGGTTTTTTATTCATTTAAACACTGTATTATGAATGTACTGATTTATGGTTATTTTATAGAAATACTTAGTTCTAAGGTAGAAAAGATATAAAAAATATTGATGTAAATTGTAAACAAGTTTTTTTTACTGTTATATGACTTTAATTATGACTAGTAAAAACAAAGTTACTGTAAAAAAAGATCTGACAAACTTTGTTAAACGCAACACCATAATAATAAATTAACATAATGACACAATACCAATAACAATAAAGTTACTGTAAAAAAGTTCTGATGAACTTTGTCAAACACCAAATTAAATCTGAGGAAGCCATTGTGCGTTATTGACAACCGGCTTAGGCTTGCATAAAAATTGGGATTATAAACCGAACCAAATTGAGAAAATAAATAGTCTAGGCCATCCAGACTTATTAAACACTGTACATGTACATAGGGGGTCTGGTTGATCGAAAATAAAAACAGAAGTGGTGGCCACATTAAAATTTTGGAATTATCAAGTAAACGAAGTACGGCTACATAAAAATTAGGAATTTTTCAAACATTTCCGAAACGAAAAACGGGTAAATTAAAAATTAGGAATTTGGGATATATGTAAAAACCGAAATGCATGA